TATATCTTCGAGAAACCAACTCTCTCTGGACGAATAGCTAGGTGGCAAATGATCTTGACTGAATATGACATCCAGTAAACTATACAAAAAGAAATCAAGGGAAGTGTGATGGCGGACCATTTGGCCCATCAAGCTGTTGATGACTACCAATCCATGAACTTTGAATTTTCGGACGAGAATATCATGCTGATATCTGATTGTGAAAAGCCTGGACCATATAAAGGACTTGAACAAGGATCCAGATGAACTATGGTTTTTGATGGAGCTTCCAATTCTTTAGGTAACGAAATTGGTGTTGTGTTCATTTCTCCCGAAGATTGACATATGCCTTTCACTTCTAAACCGTGCTTCGTCTGTACAAACAACATGGCCGAGTATGAAGCATGCATATTAGGTCTAAAGGCCGCTATTGACTTAAGAATAAATTTTTTAAGCGTATACAGAGATTCAACTCTGTTTGTTAGTCAAGTTAAAGGAGAATGGGACACCAAACATCCTAATATGATCCCTAACAAGGAGCTTGTGTTAACTTTGATCCCATGATTTGAGGAGGTCACCTTTGAACATTTCCCGAGGGAAGAAAATCAGTTGGCAGATGCTTTAGAAACTATGTCGTTTATGTTCAAGGTCAATTGGGACAACGAAGCTCCCATAATTACTATTGAAAGACTTGACGAACCTGCTCATTGTTATGAGATTGACACTGATGAGGAGAAGCCTTGGTATCATGAAGTGAGGAGGTACCTTGAAGCACAAGAGTATCCTGAGGGAGCCTCAATCAACAATAATAAATTCTTGTGAAGGTTCTCAGCCAAATTCTTTCTAAGCAATGGGATTATGTACAAGCATAACCATGATTCTACTCTGCTCCGTTGTATGGACAAGAAGGAAGCAGAAAAGATCATGGAAGACATGCATGAAGGTATCTTCAGAACTCACTCTAGTGGGCACACTATGGCCAAGAAGATTTTTAGGGCTAGTTACTATTGGTCGACAATGGAAACTAATTGTCACCATCACTCGAGGACTTGCCATAAGTGTTAAATCATTGTCGATAAGGTTCATGTGACTCCCATACCCTTAAACGACATGACTGCTCCGTGGACATTCGCAATGTGGAGAATTGACATGATCCGAGAAATTAAGCCCACTTCCTCTAATGGACATCGTTTCGTCCTTGTCGCCATTGACTATTTTACTAAATGGGTCGAAGCGGCTTCATTTTCCTCGGTTACAAAGAATGTTATAGCCTGATTTATCAAGCATAACCTCATCTGTTGATACGGAATCCTTGAAAGGATCATCACTAACAATGATACCAACCTCAACAATTACATGATTACTGCACTCTGCACGTAGTTCAAAATCAAGCATCATAATTCTTCTCCATACAGACCTAAGATGAATGGCGCAGTGGAGGCCGCCAACAAAAATATAAAGAAGATTGTACAAAATATGGTGGTGACCTATAAAGGCTAGCATGAGATGCTTCCGTTTTCTATTCATGGCTATCGTACTTTGGCTCGAACATCAACTAGGACAACCCCATTCTGTTTAGTCTATGGCATGGAAGTTATTCTGCCTATCGAAGTTCAGATTCCTTCTCTAAGGATTACAAAAGAAGCAGACTTAGGAGAAGATGAATGGATTCAGAATAGATTGGATCATTGAATTTGATTTATGAAAAGTGACTGGTCGCTTCCCGTCATGGTCAAATGTATCAAAAGCGCATGTTCAAGGCATTTAACAAAAAGATCAAACCTCGGGTATACCAGGCTGACGACTTGGTAATAAAATGCATAATTTTACCACAAGGCGATCCTAGGGGAATATGGACTCCCACTTACAAAGGGCCATTTGTTTTCAACAAAGTATTCTCTGGCGGTGCTATGATCCTAACAACTATGGATGGCAAAGATTTCCCGCATCCTGTGAACGCGGACATAGTCAAAAAATACTACGCATAAAGAATGACCCGCTAGGTTGACATACCAAGGAAAAAATAAGGGCATCCCAACGAACCAAAAGGTTCGGGCAAAAGTTAGGGATATATACAAAAGATTATACACCTGGCAAGTCGAAAACCTGAAAGGGCGGCTTGGGAAAAAAAGGGTATCCTTGTGGACTGAAAACCTGAAAGGGAGGTCCAGAAAAAGAAGGATTAAAGTGTACGACTATGTCCCGTCGGATCACTAACAGTCAACTTTATTACCGAGGTCAAAAGTTCAAATGGTACGAGATCAATTCAATCAACTCCTTTCAACGGCAGGGGATGGTGTTCGAAGACATGGGGGAAATAGTGGAGTTGGAACCCAATGAGATCACTTCCACATGGCTATACAATTTTTGTTTTCACTTTGTATTCTTTTTATTTTTTCGATGACTTCCTCTTACTAGGATTTGTCTCCATGTACAAAAAAGGCTTGTTTATAGGCAAAATATCAATACAAATATGCTTTGAAGGGAAAACTTTTTATTTTATTTTTGTTTTGAGTGCAAAAACATCCAATGACTAAAATTGAATGAACATATGAATATGAACATGATTGACTATTAACGAATGTACGAACGAGAACAGTAATAAGTATTTACTTAAGGATTTGGGATATCCCCAGAGTCACTTCAATGAGATTACCCCCAGAGTGAAGTCATACAT